AACTCCAACAAGCAAAATGTGAATATTAGGGAATTTGTCTTTTAAATTAGTTAACAGTAATTATTTACATTCAAGTTTTTCAAGAATATTATGAGACTTTTATCTTATGGGGTTTTGACGTCTGTTTTACTTCATCATATAGTAACCTAAATAAATTTAGGTAAGTGAATAATGTTATGGCATTTCATTGAATTTATATTTGATATATACAGCAGACCAACTGTTTAATGATTGTATACATATATGTTAAAGATTTGTTTACCTTTTCACCGCTGGTGAAATTGAAAATAAATTTTTTTAACATATATTTACAATTGTGAGACTTTGTTCTTTAAAATCTTACAATTCTCATGTATTTCTGATAAAACGATTAAGGTATAGATGTTTTAAATGTTAACACTTTGATTGTTTCACTAACAGCAGAAGTAGTAGAAAGATTACAGGAAGGAGTATGCTCAAGATCATTAACTTTACAACTATCAGTTCTGATGTTAATCAAAAACTAAAAATTTTAATTGAAAAAAACAATAAGATTACAAAATACTTTTTCTGACTGAGTGTATAATTCTCTTATATAATAACAAAAACTTAGTGTGATAAGGACTATAAGCTTTTATAATACCCCATACTTAATATGATGAGAAGTGACTAACTTTTACAATACCAAACACAGGCATGATGAAGACAACTTATTTTTTTAATAACCAATATTTAGTATGATGACAAATATAACAAACATTTATAATATAAAATACTTAGTGCAAGACAAACTATAATACCAATATTTAATGTGATGAGGATTATAGCTTAGTGCAATGAGGATCAACTTACTTTTATAATATCTAATACTTAATGTGACAGAAACTACAGATGCCTTTTATAGCTAATGAGTGATGAGAACTATAAACTTTTATAATACCCAAATATTCAATGAGATTGAGACTAGTATCTATTTGTGGTGAAGATACCTTTCAACTCTCTCGCTGCAAGGTCGGTCGTATCGACGGACCTTTGTAAACATTTTGTACTCATTATTTCCATACTATAAATCTTAATACTCTATGTGTACTTTCACAAAATTTGGGGCAGACTTTTAGTAAACATTATAAGTCTTTGGTACATAAAAAATCAGATTTTTTATTAAAGTATTTTTATTAAAGATTTGTCTGTGAATATATATATGGTATTTCTATATATTAGTCAAAGTGCAAAGTGATTTCCAAGTAAAGATTTAGAATACTTTTCTTCACCTCAAAAATTTCCAATTTTATTTCCATAACCTCTAAAACCTCCTGAATAAATTTCAAACGTTTTTCAGTAAAACTTTATATTTTATCTGTTCTTTTCTCTACTCTAGCTTTATATAAAGTTGATCAATTTCACTGACTTCATAGCCACCAAAAATAAAAAACTAAATAAATGTAAATCAACATTTCTTTCTTTCTAGAATGATTTAAAATTGTAATATGAAACTACATTTGTTTATCCTATATTGCATTACACTCATAACAGTATACAACTATTTATACTTAAATTTTATTGTTTTATTGCCTATTGAACCCTTTCTAACTACTATTCACATCAATATAAGTTGTAAATCACTTGTCCAACATGCAGCTCTCATTACACTATCAAAATACATTATGCACAAGCTGTTTGCGAACTGCTTGCAAGTGCACCTTGTGAAAAAATTTTATTATATTATTATTATTATTTATTTCACCTAATCTAACCTTAACTTACATAAAAAGTTTCCAATTTTTACATTTTAGTTACTTTTATTATAACAAATAAGGAATAGACATGAAAAACAAGAAAAAAGTACTTACCTGGGTTTTCTTTTTTTTGCTGTCGACTGTTGACGATATATAACTCTACTTTTTTATACTAATGGTAGTACAGCATTAAATGATTTTTTATTAAGTTAAATAATGCACCAAAGAACACGGAATAATAATGTGCAAAAAGCAGACAATGTCTAATGACTATCACAATTACTCTGGCTTTCTAACTATGTGACAAGAGCCATTGAAACTTCCTCTAATCCCATTGATGCATTTCCCATTGGAATCAAGCATGAACTGAAAACAAAATTGACAATTCTCTTTACAGAAAACAACATAATATAATACATCATTTGACAAATGAAAACCTTGGTTTTTTAGTGGTTATAAATAATATAGTATTGAACGGCAGAGAGAACTGTTGGCAATTTCAGAAAAAGAGGATGTGACAAGAGGGCATGGCAAGATAAGTTTGGTTGTCTATTTTATGGCTCTGTAACCAAATAAGATTGAAGGTTATGAAAATTATGCTTTGCCTGAGCAATGACAATATTATAGTAAGTAATTTATGTTAAATTTGGTACTTCTTGGAAGGGTGGTAAATAAATTATACAAGAGGGGATGCCCAGAAAAAGATGCTTGTGGAGAGAGAGAGTTAATATAGTGTAATTATATTATGTTTTAAAATAACAAACAATTACTTATTTCATCAATATTTGTATATAACAGAATCTTTAGGTTTTCTTACAACAGCTTAAATTATACTAAAATATTCCACAGAATAACAAGGAATGGCTATTTCAACTTATTCTGATACTTTACTGCTTACAAAATACAAAATAACAATAAAATACCCACCAGACTCCAAATAACTTAAAGACTGCTTAGATCCCAAAGAAGATAATGTTTCAATATCTACATTTTCCACAAGAGGAAACCCTGTCATATTTCCAAGTAGTCCTTTAGTTCTGGATTCTACAGTGGCATTTGCTGATGGAAGGGAGGTAACTAACGTACTGTCCTGACTCTGAACCAAAACTGACTCATTTGCCTGACTATCAAAAACCACTGGACTAGTGATTGAGCTTGTATGATATGTTTCTGGTTCAGATGCTGAACTGTAGACAGAAGCCATGGAGCTTCTTCTGTCATCAAAGGGATACTCAACTTCAGGAACATCAGTGGGATAAAAACTTAAGTCCCCATCAAGTGGGGAATATTTTTCATAGTCACTTTCTTCACTCTGTGTTGAAATATCTGAACATCTATTAGTTTGGAGATATGACATTGGTGGAGTTGTCCACGTAGGAAATGACAATGGTGAATGTTGAGAATTGTTCAATTTGGATGACAAAGTCTCAGATGGTGAAGTTCTGTGCATCAAAGTGTCATTTTTGGTATCAATGGAATTCCACTCAAGAATATGTGCCTTTACAGAAGATTCATGAAAAATCTGTTTACTGAAAGTTGTATTTGGAGTATTCTCTGTCAAGTTAGATGGAGGAACAGGGTATGTTGGGCTAGTTAATGCTGCATGCAAGGCTGGGAAATTTTGTGCTTCATCACAGTTTGGTAACTCTGATTTTAAGAAAGATGTAGTGTTATTTTCATCTGTAACAAAATCACAAGACTTTATTGTCTGCAAGGCTGATAAAGCCTCCTGTATTTTTTGTAGGTGAGGGTAGTCACCAGACTGTGCTGCTTGGATGGATTGGAAGAGAAGAGGTTTTATTTTACCACTGATACAAGGCATGTAACGTTGGGTGAATTCCTGTAGTTCACGTTTACCATCTTCTTCACTGTATTAAAGAAAACAAGAAAACTTGTATACACAAGATACTAATATTCTTTTCACTCTTACAACTTAATTGAAAACATGCAAGCTAAAATTCTTTGTTTAATAGATGTTTAGCAGTGTTGTCTTCTGTTATAAATCATGCAAGTTAAAACTTAGATTAATTCATATTTGTCTAAAGAAAACATACATCACCACTGCAACTTTTTCTTAAAAAGTGATTACTTTGGATTATTTTTTAAGTTTAAACTTACTTCAAAACATGATTGACACACACAAAGTGATCCACTTGATCAGTAGAGTTATCATATTTCAAATGTCCAAAGCTCTTTAGGTATACCCAGACTTGGTTTCTGCTCAGAAGTCTGTACACAACTACAGCCTGTTCTCCACTATTTGCAAACACTAGATTGACAAATATAAATGAGAATCACTATTTGGTTCACAAGTCTGTACACAACTACAGCCTTTTCTCCACTATTTGGTTCAAAAGTCTGTAATCAACTACAGCCTGCTCTACACAACTCCAAAACACTAGAATTGAAAGTTTTAAATACACATTGTAAACACAATTAATTCAATTTATTTGGAAATTCAACAGTATTCTTGCTGAAGATTATGGACTTAGAAGTTTTATAGAGTATCACAACTTTTTAAAAACTTTCACATCTACACTTTAATGCCTTGGGATATTATTTAGGGTAATGGTGAGCCACTTTAATGTATTGACCTCTATTGGTTTTACCTCCATTACATTTATTATTATAAATAGTTGATATAGGCTGTACAACTGTTCCATATATGAGATTACATCACTAGTTTACTTACATTACTTTTTTTGCAATCTTAATGAGTGTTGTAATTTTCCTTTTAAGTCTTATAATTCTTAATTGAACCTTCTACTTTCTAGAGGCTTATCATGTTTCGTTTTCAGATTTACTGAAAATTTAACCTAATTTATTACTTCCTACAGCCAGTTCTATGTGTTTGTTATTTGGGGTAAAATAAAAGTTAAACATGTTAGACACACCACATATGTATAGCATGTTGTTTTCTTTTTGTTATAACATTGTTATATTTTCAGAGATGATTCAGGTATTAGTATATTTTCTTATTTATTATTTTTGCATCCTCATAAAAATTAGTTTCTGGTTGTATTATAGAAAGATTACTATTTCTACTTTGACACAGTTTAAACAGTAACATGTGTCATTAAAAATTTGTCACAGATCTCACTCTCCTTTAATGTTGGACAGAAGGAGTGGCTTGATGAATTTTCTTTGATCAAAAATGATGTTAGAAAGAATTGGAGAAAAATCAAGCATATTATACTGTGGTAACATTTTTCAAAGAAATTTACTTTTACAACAGTAATTGAAGCCAATAACTAGTGTTTTTATGTTCCCCAAGTAAGGTGTACTGTATTATATATTTATTGTTACTTTCATTAACAGTACTGGTTATACTAGTTAATATAATGAATGTCATTACTATTTAATTTTATTTTTTACTATTATACTTTTATTATAGAGCGTGATTTGCACTGTTAGCTTAATATATGTCTTTAGGACTAACCTTTATCTTCCAAGCTGACAGAATCTTGTAAGATATCATTGGAATTATATTATGGTCGAAAATATCATTAGCAGTGAGGGTACCCATCAGACAAAACATTGAATTCTAACTTTTGTAAGAAGAAACATGAGAAAAGTATATGTAACAAGCTATACTGATTGCCAGGTTGATTTTTAGTTTCATTCTAGTACCTAATTTGCTATAATTGGAAGTTAATGTTAACTATTTCAGCTCATCAGTAAACATCTCAGCTTGTTCTCTACTACATGAAAATACTACAATAACAAGAAAAACCTGACAATCACATTTGATGCTCTGAAATCTGTATGAAACTAGAGGTTGTTCACAATTGTTTGACAATATCGTCTATCTATATACTACTAAAAGTCTGAGATTGTTTGTTTTTTTGCTTGTCTGTAATTAAATACAGCAAAAACGGCACACAATATGACATGAATATAATATGAGAAATGAGAATAGACACAGAATGAAACAAGTTTGGTTAAAATCAGGCCATGGGTTACAGAGTTAATGCCATTTTTTGGGTCACT